GTGTCCGCCGCGTGCGCGTGCCGCGCCCAACTGCCACGCGGGGCAAGAGCGAGCCGCGGCCGCCGCCCGGGGTCCCAGGGCGATCTCCAGGGCTCGCTCGCGTTTCCCGCCCGCCTTCCCACGCGCCAGCGGGTCTTTCCTTCCCTGGCGAGGGGGCTACAGCGTGGCCGGGGCCAGAGGAGGAGGCTTTTATTCGGGGGCGGGAGCGTCACGAAAGTGCGATAAGAAAAGGATTTTGCGACCGGGAGGCAGAAGTGCTGCTCTTTGGTTTTCCAGGGAGTAAAGGGGGAGCAGCGGGTGCATGCATGGGTGATGCGTGGTGGTAACGAATTCTTCCCGAGCCCTTATTGTGTGCCAGGCACTGTGTGGAGCCACTTGTGTGCCTCTCGTGTACTCCCGCACCCTGGGGAGGTCGGTGCGATGACTTTCCTCATTTTCCAGCGGACTCGGCGGTCCCGCGGTGGAGGGACCTGGTCAGAGGCATGCAAACGGTAAGGGGCAGGTGCTTGTTTGCGCCCAGGTGGCCTGACTCCTGGTCCCCGAGCCTCTTTTATTCTTCATTCCAGCGTCCGATGTGGTCCCCGGGCACCTTGGCCCCCAGAGCACCGGGGGTCCCCTGGGGACAGCATCCGCCCCGAAAGGCCCTGCTGCGAAGGCTGCAGCGGCATTTGTGCTTGAGCCAGTCCTGGGCTTCCAGGGAGACCAGGGTCGGCCGTGGGCTGAAGACAAAGGGAGAGAAAGCGTTTGGGCTTCCTTTCTGTTTGTGTCCGCGTAGGTAGCTGAGGGGGGTGCTGCCCTGAAAGCTCCCGGGAAAAGCATCCGATCAAACGAGTCAGTGCAAGGGAACATGGACAGGGTTCCTCGTCTGATTTGAAACTCACAGCGTGATGATGGGAAATTCCCGCCAGCAGGAAGTTAGGCTCCGATATGAGACCCTGAATCATTTCTCTCTCTTAAAAAAAAATAAAAAATCGGAGCAGACTTTTGAGAAAGACCTGCGCGAACATAGTTTAACTTCCTCGTTTTATATAATTGAAGAAAATGAGGTTCAGAGTCATGAGTTTCAGACCTCGGCAGCATGTGTGGGTTAAAACTTGAAATAGGAATGGGAAGGAGGGTGCTCAGTTGCAGTGTACATCTGACCTTATGCCAGGTGAATTGGGGTGACTGAGGTGTGGGCAATCTTTACCCTTGTACGTAGTTGGGATCTACTGTGGATGACAGCCTATCCGCATTCAGTTCATTATTTGGCATTTACTGTTAGGCTCCTGTGTATATGCAGACACAGAAGACACTTTCAAAGACTCGAGTGTATATTTTTCTAGTAAAGTTATACTTTAGTTTTTTGAATGCCAGTATATTCTCTTGGCTTCATGAAATAATAAATGATCCTGTGTTGCAGGTCCAAGTCATTACACCACAGATGTCTCTATTGAGATAAAAGTACAGTAAAAGTTTTGAGACTTAATTCATTTGAATTTTGATTGGGATGGCTTTCAATTTTTTTTTTTTTAAGAAATTGACCTATTTTGTGTATATAGACACTTTTTAGGATTGGTCTTGATTTTTTTGCAGTCAGAGAGAACACATAATTTAATCTTTGTAAGTAAATTTAAAAACTATCAGGAAGCTTAATATTTGTGTGTCCATTTACCAAATACTCTCCATGTTTCTTAACAGAAAGTAGCAGTAAATATAGGATTGAAATTTTGTATTGAAAAGTTGTATCTATGTTGGTGTTGCCATAAATAACAGATTGCCTTAGAATATAACATTGTTTTACCTGGAACTTGCCTTCCTGTACAGTGCCATTTACCTGCGAGTAGACATCGGTTTAGCTATTGAATTAGCATTTTAAGTTAGCAAATGTTAAAACACTATAATGACCTACATTTAAACTGAGTTTGAGTCCAGCTAATTTTGTTACTGCTTGAGGTAAGACATACCAATGAAATTATCTTATGCATTAATTGGGGGGAAATTTTGTTACTTTCCCCTTCAAATTCTTCTTTAAGAAATAAAACCCTGTTCTTGGCCTCAGGCAAATGATTATCAGTTGAGCAGGAATATGAAAACTGATACTTCACAAATTGGTAGCCCAGCTGATCTCTTGTGCATTTATTTATCAAGAACAAGTGATTTTTGAAGAAAAGTTGTAATGATGCAAGACTTAGGTGCCATCTTGATTCCCAGCCAAGTCAGAGGTTACTTTTATTATTGTTAAACCCTTTCAATATAAGCTTTTGTGCCTCTTCTAACTGGTGGAAAAGTAGGCAGTTCTTTGTTCTTTATTTAATTCAGTTTCAGTTCTCAGCTGACAGTCTGCTAAGGGAACATCAGGAGATGTGGAAATGTTGGTGACCTACTTTGCAGCAGTTTTTTTTTGTAATTTACATTATTTTATTTTGCTTGTTTTGAATAGAAAATAAAGGGCAGAGCTTAGTTTTAAATTCTTACAGGTTTTTAAAAAAATCATTTGTTCTTTTATTTTTTTAATACTTATTGATTTCAGAGAGGAAGAGTGAGGGAGAGAGATAGAGACATAAATGATGAGAATCAGTGATCAGCTGCCTCTTGCACATCCCCCACTGAGGATTGAGCCTGCAACCTGGACAAGTGCCCTTGACTGGAATTGAACCCAGGACCCTTCAGTCCGCAGGCGGATGCTCTATCCATTGAGCCAAATCAGCTAGGGCTTCTTACAGGTTTTTGAATTGTATATGGCTCTTAGGAAGGATAAGGAAATGTTTAATTAAAAGATGAAATTTAATATAAAGCCTGAATTTGTGACCTAAATAAATTTTTTCTTTTTGCCAGTTTAATAAAATTACTCACTTGACCTTACAGCAAATATTGTGTTTTTTAAGATAATATTTCAGAATTTATATATGCATTGTATGTTCATTTAGTAGTGCTTTAAGACTGCTTTGGAGCCCTGGCTGGTGTGGCTCAGTTGGTTAGGCGTTGTCCTGTGCACTGAAGGGTTGCCATTTCCATTCCTGGTGAGGGCACATGCTCCAGTTTCAGCTCTACTCCGTGGAGGGGGGCAGGCAGGAGGCAGCTGATAGATGTTTTACTCTCACATCCATGTTTTTCTCTCTCTCTCCCTCTGTCTCTCTAAAAATCAATACAAAAATCTTAAAGAGCCCTAGCTGGTTTGGCCCAGTGGATAGAGCATTGGCCTTCAGACTGAAAGGTCCTGGGTTCAATTCTGGTCAAGGGCATATGTGCAGAAGATCAATGATTCTCTCTCCTCATTGATGTTTCTTTCTTTCTCTCCCTCTCCCTCTCTGAAATCAATCAATAAAAAATAAAAAAATTAAAAAGGAAATCACTTCCAAAAAGAACATTAAAAAAAAATCTTAAAGAAAAAGACTGCTTTGCACAAAACTTAATTGACTTTACAAAGGAAGATAATCGTCAGAGTAGGTAGGCTAAAAAAAACCAAACTGCTCTTTTCTCCCCTGGCTAATCAGTTCTTAACATCTAGTGTGCAAAACCTTTCGTGCAATAATGTCCTTTCAGCCATGTAGTTACATTTACATTGAGCAACTGTAATCTCACTTATAGTTGGTGATCACACTGTGGCACTTAACCAGGTTTATGTTGTTATTTTTATTTTATTTTTTTGTTAATCCTCACCCGAGAATATTTTTCCATTGGTTTTTAGAGCGTGGAAGGGAGGCGGAGAGAAAGAGAAACGTCGATTGGTTGCCTCCTGCAGGTGCCCAACCGGGGCCAGGGATTGAACCTGCAACTGAAGTATGTGCCCTTGACCATAATTGAATCTGAGACCCTTCAGTCCGTGGGCTGACGCTCTATCCACTGGGCCAGAATCGACAGGCAGGTTTATGTTTTTAAATCTCAAAAATAAGCTTTTTGTTTACTTAAAATTTTTTATTTTAAGTATTATTGGATACCTTGTCTGGCCTTGATTGGAAAAGCTAAATTGCAAGCCAAGTGGTAATGGTGAAGAGCTAGGAATAATTGACACGTGATGAGTGGGTTTTATAAAGCAGAAAGTAAATATGAAAAAGGCTGTGGCTTTAGTAAGTTCTTATTTTTTAATATATTTTTATTGATTTCAGAGAGAAAGGGAGAGGAAGAGAGATTGAAGGGGAGAGAGAATCACTGAATCATTCACTGATCGGCTGCCTCTCCTGCACGCCCACTACTGGGGATGGAGCTCGAAACCCGAGCCATGTGCCTCTGACCAAAATCGAACCTGGGACCCTTCAGTTGGCTCTATCCACTGAGCTAAACCAGCTAGGGCAGTAAGTAAGGTCTTTACATGATAAATTTCCCCTTCTGTCCTTGGGCCAATCTCATAATATTGCTTAGCTGTTTAGCCTGTGTGCTATTGAGGTATTTAAAAAATATTAGATGGTTCAGAAAAAGAAAGCTGGCATCCTGGATGGGGCACATTTTGTAGGTATGTCATCCTTGGTGGCTGTTAACTTAAGTGGCTATGAATATGACAGCATTGTATATTTGTATGGCCCTTTACATGTTTTAAAATTGCTTTCACATATCTTAGATTTGCCCATGTTTTCACTTAAAAAGAGAACTGATAATTTGATATTCAAATAGTTGTCTAAATTATTTTGTAAAGCATGTGGTGTATCTAGCTATTCAAAAAAAAACCTGAAGGATTCAGAATCTGGATGGCGTGAGTGTGACACCTGTCCTAGGCTGTGCCTCAAGTACACACCATGTTTGAACTGTGAGCTTGCTCTTAGGGTTCCCTGGAGTGTATCCACCTATGCTGTATGATCTAAAGGCTAGGAAGTTTATGTTTCTAGGAATTTCATAGGTGAAGCATTAGTAGTAACTATACAGTATCTTCTTGATAAGAAAGAATAGATAGTTGCTTAATTATAAACACAGCTGACTTAATTTTGGAATGGGAAAGGGATGCTAAAAACCAAGAAAAGCTGGTGCATGTTATGTTTTGTAATTTCTGTCTTGAAGTTTTTATCTTTCAGGAAAAGTTTTTTTTGAGATAGATAAATTTTAGATTTATATAAGAGTTGGAATGCAATGTAGAGACATCTTTTTTTTTTTTTTAAATCCTCACCTGAGGATATGTGTTTTTTGAGGCTCTGTTTTTAATGTGGGTTTCGATGGGCTGCCTTCCATATGTGCCCTGACCTGGGATTGATGATGCTCCAACCCAATGGGCCACACCAGCTATGGCCAGAGACATCTTATATAGACTTTGTTCAGCTTCCCTAATGTTAACATCTTACATAATCATGAATTTCGTGCACTGGGTCTCTAGTATTTGGAATAAAATGAGATAAACATTTTCACATTTTCTAGTAGTTTTTCTCAAGGGAAATATTCCTGATGACTGTGATGAGTAAAAATTGTTTCAGAAATACTAATTCTATTCAGCAAACTAATTTTACTAGCATAAGAATAAATTATCAGTGTTTAACAGAAAAGTAAAACTTAATGATAATATTTCTGTTGTTTTTTTGTTAAGTCT